AGAGAGAGAGAGACCGTAAGAGAGAGAGAGACCGTAAGAGAGAGAGAGACCGTAAGAGAGAGAGACCGTAAGAGAGAGAGACCGTAAGAGAGAGAGACCGTAAGAGAGAGAGAGAGATCGTAAGAGAGAGGGAGACCGTAAGAGAGAGAGAGAGACCGTAAGAGAGAGAGACCGTAAGAGAGAGGGAGACCGTAAGAGAGAGAGAGAGACCGTAAGAGAGAGAGAGACCGTAAGAGAGAGAGAGAGACCGTAAGAGAGAGAGAGAGACCGTAAGAGAGAGAGAGAGAGACCGTAAGAGAAAGAGAGAGACCGTAAGAGAGAGAGAGAGAGACCGTAAGAGAGAGAGACCGTAAGAGCATTGCAGCATTGCCCAACTCGGGCCCGTGATGCCCGAGTAAGTGAAAAGTCCCTTGTCGGGCGAGTGAAAATCCCTTGCATCCAATGTAGGCGTACATTGGCCGCCTACCGCACGCACACCGTGGAAACTAACCAACCCTTAGGGTAAGATTAGATTTATGGAATTTGTTCTAGTCAATTCATAAATTCAAAATAATTCCGATATATTTCTCCGCGTTAGGCATGATGCGGTAGGATATCACGTAGGGTTCAATCCCGCCCCCCTTTTTCTGAGCAACCAGGCAAAGTGCCGAGATCAAGAGTGCGGAGAAGGCAGTTGCGGGTGACCATGTGAAAAGCGTTGCTTGTGGCTGACCGTTGGAGCCGCTGCCGCGCAGGCGCAGGCAGTCCGGCGCAGCCAGGCCTAGGCCGGGCACCACCAGCGGCGCGCAGCCGCTCAGCCCGCCGCCCCCGCCGCCGCCTGCGCACACGCCACGCCCCTCTCAGCCCCCCTCAGCTGTGTAACGCACCATGTGCTCTACGGTCTACGTATCAACAGATAAGGTCTTTAGTCCCGTAAGTGTAGCACGAGGTTTTTCGCTTCATGTAGCTATAATGTTGTCCCGCTGGATGGCGAGATCCGAGTTGTCAGAAGAACTGTGTGGTATAATATTCGATGTGTTCCAAACCAATATTAATATTCTTTAAAATCTCCATAACACCACCAATTGTTACAATTTCCCTTCAGCTCCGAATTGCTACCTTGAGAGACTATCAGGAGATTCAATGGCAGCGGTATCTAGGGATTCTAACCTATAGCTCGAATAATACTCTACTAATACTCTACGAATAATACTCTACTCGAATAATTTCTTACTATTTGACAGTTAGCGGCTCACTGAAGAGAGGGGGTTCCGTTATCCAATCAGAGGCTTCAAATTCTGCTGACGTCGCTGCAGAGTTATACATATTGAGAAAAAGTGAAATCTTACAGTACAAAGCAACTGTAAATTGAAGACCGCCATTACTTCTTTATTCTCAATCGTGTGTCCGGTTCTGTATCGTTTACTGTTGTGTGCTGTTATTGCTTTGTGCTTGCTACTCTTCGTGTCTGCCGTGTTACGTGTCTGCGGCCCGACTAAATGGCAACATCGGTCTACTCCCATTCCAGCTATTAAGTATACAGAAATATTATTGGGACAATATTCTGCGATTTATTTACAGCTGTCTCTGACAGGTCATCAGCGTTTATGGTGAATTCCAATCGCGAGCTTACTCGCCACTGCAGTGGCTTCACTACAGTGCCGCTCAACCTTCCGATTGGATGACAGCTCTAAATAAATCCAAGTATAAATTACGCTTTTTATAACGTGGCGCGACAGAGCCTGTCTTCACGATGGACTACCTTACGACACTTATCGTCTTGCTCAGTCCTACCGCTAGCGATGTATCTAGCGGCTCGACCGAGCAAGACGCGAACTGGCGCGAGCAATTCCATCGTGAGACAGGACTGTGCAGCTAGTGCAGTGCTGACTTGGTCCGCAGGCGGCGCCGGTGGGCGGGGGCGGCGCGCAGGGCGGCAGCGTTTGCGCGGCGAAGAGGGCGCGCGGGAAGGCGGCGGGCGGGCAGGCCACGCGCGCTCCCACGCCGGGCGTCTGCGGCGCCGCGGGCCCGCACCGCCCCGCCCCCCCCACGCGCCGCCGCCGCCGCCGCGCCGCGCGCCAGCGCGCTGCGGCGCGAGCACGGCGTCACGCCCAGCTCCGCCATGGCCGCACGCGCCATTGCGTCCTGCATCTCCTGCAGGCAGAGGGAGGGATTGGACGGCGGCTGCGCAGGGGCGTCAAGAAATACAGTGGACGCCCTGTTGTAGGGGAACACCGGTTTACACGCGGGGAGTGCGTTGAGCGAATTCGCCCACGCGGATACAGGGGGGAGCCATGGAGCCATTGCTCTGCCCCCAAAAGTCCCGCAGGCTTGTTTTAGCGCCTTTATTTGCGCAAAATGTAATTTAAAGTATTTATTTATGATCGGAATATAGTGAAACTTTCGTTATATTGCACCTTAAAAGTTCGCCTTGGTTTTTTCCCCCCGTTTTTTCAAACTCTACATTTACAATAAGCATAAGAAGATTCGAGTTACAGTGAGCTCCGGTTACAGTGAGCTACGGTTTACAGTAGCTCCGGTACAGTGAGCTCCGGTTTCACAGTGAGCCTCCCGGTTACGCGTGAGCTCCGGTTCCGTGAGCTCCGTTAACCGTGAGCTCCGTTCTCCGTCAGAGGCTCCGGTTACCGTGAGCTCCGGTATACAGTGAGCTCCGGTTACAGTGAGCCTCCGTTACAGTGAGCTCCGCGTTACAGTGGAGCTCGCGTTACAGTGAGCTTCCGCGTTACAGGAGCTCCGGTTACAGTGAGCTCCAGTTACAGTGAGTTATCCGGTTAACAGTGAGTTCCGGAGCTTACAGTGAGTTCCGGTTACAGTGAGTTCCGGTTACAGTGAGTTCCGGTTACGAGTGGTTAATGATTCCGGTTACAGTGATATCCGGGTTACAGTGGAGTTCCGGGTTACAGTGAGTTCCGGTTACGAGTTGTACAGGTTCCGGTTACAGTGACGTTCCGGTTACAGTGAGTTCCGGTTCAGTGAGTTCCGGTTTACAGTAAATTCCGGGTTACAGTAAATTACCGCGTTTACAGTAAATCTCCGGTTACAGTGAAGTTCAGGTTACAGTGAGCTCCGTTACAGTGAGCTCCGGTTTACCAGTGACTCCGGTTAACAGTGAGCGTCCGGTTACAGTGAGCTCCGGTTACAGTGAGCTCCGGTTACAGTGAGCCTCCGGTTACAGTGGCTCCGTTTTAGAGAGCTCCGGTTACAGTGAGCTCAGGTTATAGTGAGGTCTGGTTATAGTGTACTCATATATCGTGCATTTTCGGTTATAAGGAACCTATGTCACTGGTCCCGTTTAATCATCATTACAAAGAAGTGAAAGAAGATTCGGTTATAATGAACTCTGAACCTCGGCTATAGTTAACTTAGAAAGTACGTCCTGTGAAATGCAGAAAGAATCTCGTATGTTATTAGGCGAGTATCGCGGCCTGTTGTGTGTGTGGGGGGGGAGGGAAGGAACGAACCTGGAACTTGTGCAGCTGCTGCACCTGCTGCGCCAGCCTCATGTTCTCGAGGCGCAGATTCTTGATCTCGTCGCCCATGTAGTTGACCTGGTCGATGAGCGCGTTGGCGCCGCCCAGCGCCGCGATGTCCTCCGGCCCGTGGAAGCGCCTGGAGCCACCAAGGCATTACGACAAGCACAGGGCACATCAACCCTCAGTTTGACAGGCTGACAGTTTTCATTGTTATCGCTGGGAGCGATAGAAGCACGACCACTGGCGGTTGTAGGGGAAGGGCCATGCCCTAACCCCAAAAGGCCTAGAGTTTTCGTTTTGCTGCCTTTATTTTTCAAAATTTATGTACATATTTATTTATGTTCGAATTGTAATTGTTTAAAGAATCATGTTGTATAGTATCATATCTACAGTACATAAATAATATAAAATATAACAAATATGTTTATTATGTAACGATGATTTACTGCGATGACCCCCACCAAAATGACCGGCTGGATCCGCCCCTGAGTTTGCCCAGCGCCATCATTGGGGGGGGGCGGGTTTAATGAATAGTTATGCCTGCGTGACCAAAGCGAACAGAGGACGCCTTCCGCCGGCGGATCGCAGGCAGCGCGCGCCCCTCCACTTCGTTATTCAGCTGTTTGTGGCCCTCGCTGGGTCGCTGCCAGGGCTTTTCTGTCAGTGGCTCGAAACCTTTTCGCCAGACACCTCATCTCGGCGTCTATTCATTTTCCGGACAATGGCAGAAATATGAATTTCCAAAAAGGGAACTATAACGTTTCGTATCAAGAACTCAACTACATAAAATCTCGTGCTGTCAACCAATGGGAAACATCAGAGCGCGCGTGAATTTGATTACATCAGGATTTCTGTATGAGTAAACGAATAATATATACACAAACCAATATGCTATGCCAGTAAAAAAAATATAATGGCCAGGGACGGAGAAAAAAATTAGTGATGAATTCCCGGGAAGGGCATAGATTGGTTGATTGGTTGTTAATGATTCCGGCCGCATTAACTACTGATGACATTATTTGGCATCTTTTCGTCGGGAAGGAGTGACAATCGTCCCACGCTGGATGGCGAGATACGGCGCCGTCGTACAGTCGAAAGCGGTACTTTCCCAACCAGGTGTCTCCCACCAGCAAGACACTGCCCAGGCCGGGACAATTCTAATCTCCCGAACCGAAAGGGCATGGAATAAGCGCTGCTGAAGTAGATTTACACATAGCGGGCGAATTACGTCATTTCCCTATTCCTCCGTCCTACACTAAGTAGTGAGAATGCAGAATAGACGTTTATGAACGATGAGTGGCTAATCACCGAAACTGTCCAACTGAAGAGCGAGATATTAATACAAGTTTTATGTTTCATTAACATCCAATGCACTCTTTTCTAATTACTACAAAGGAAAAGTGATAATAAGCAAGATGATTACACAATCATGATAAAGTTATTGTAAAATGTAATCATGAGGTTGGAACGAAAATGAATAAAAGAAGAACTGGGTAAAAAAATTCGCCGTTTTAAGATTAGTGATACTCACTGGCACTCTTTCCTGGTGGCGAACTGCGGTCCCTTGGGCACCTGGATCTTCACATCACCCTGCAACCGAACACAAATCCTCAGGGCGTCATTGGGCTTACCCCTCCAGGAAACACACTTAATAATTCAAAAAAAATTAATCTCCTACAAGCTACATTCTACATTGGCGATATCTCTCTCATGACACGAACCTATCCATGTTCATTCACGTTTTCTTTACAAAATAATTTCACGTTCCTACATCTAGTTGTCAATTTCCGCATTATCATCACCTCACAATTTCCAAGTTGCGCATGGAATATTGTAAGTGTAACTAACGCTGATGAAACTTCCTTATCGCCCTCCATCGTATTCTCGCTGACCGTATCAAAAGCAACAGAACACTAGAAGTTCCATTATTGTAATTTAACAATCTTCGTTTCATATTTAAAACGCTGCTGAATGTCATTGCGGAAAGGAAAAGACGGTTCATTTGAGTGATAAGAGCCATCATGGGGCCATGCAATACGTGCATCCTACGGGGCTCCGTCATGATTATCGGGACAGGTGCACGTTACTACTTTTCTATTGGGGGATCAGTATTTGATTTTGATTCCATTTTTACAAGGTTGAAAGCCCTGGGGGTTGTGGTGAAATGATGGAAGAGACACATACCAAGACACATTATTATTATTATTGTATTAATATTATTGGTATTATTAGGATTGAAGTGATAGGGTAATAATGAGGGGCGAATCGACTAGGATGATGGTAGCTGTTAGGTGGGCTAGTGGGAAGTGTTCGCAAGTAGCGAAAGGAAGGAAGCCAGCGTTACCCCCTTGGTGCAGAGGCCGGGCTCGCAGCCCTTGGGCTGGCCCAGCTTCTTGCCGCCCGGGTCGCAGAAGACGATCATGGGCACGTGGTCCTTGGGGCCGCACACCACCACCTTGGGCAGGGTGGCCTCCTGCGAGCAGTAAGCGCAGCACGTGTGCTCGGGGGCCATCAGCAGCTCCTTCTCCATCATGTCCAGCAGCTCCGACAGGCGCTTGCCCACCGCCGCCGCGATCGACTCGCGCTTGATGCGCGGCAGGAAGTCCTCCGAGCTGCGCAAAGGCCGCCCTCGGTCAAAGAGGCGCGCCGGGCGCAACTTCATTACATCCGTAGGCATGTGCTGTGCGAGGGAAGTGGCGGTGATATCAAGTATCTCCCAGCAGCGGGCACCGCTCCACACGGGACACGCTAGTATTGTGGATGCAAGTGGATGTAAGAGGTGAAGATAGGACAAGGAATAAGAAGGAAAGATCGCACGTGGTCCGTGGCCCGTTTGTAAGGGTACTACTCCTGCATTCCGTTGTAATTATCGGAGAAATTACGGAAAACTAACGATCAGAGCAGCCAGCCGCTAGAATTTTCTTCGAGACAGCGGCTGTATTGGACCTTGCTATGTGGCTAGTGTCGAAAATATCACTACTGACAATACTCGAAGTCTAGGAGGCATTGCAGTGACATCAGTTGATGCCCTGAGCCAAAGATACGTTGTAGATTGAACTGTAATGTATAGTATATTTGGGAAAAACAAAGTGTTTAGTCAATCTACAACTGCTGCTTAGTTAAAGTTATTAATGTAAGTATAGTAATGTTCACTGGACATGTCATAATATGTACTAAACACATTGCAGTGAAAATTACTAAACAAATTATTGCGTTTCATAAATTACTAAACGCTGATGAGTAAATCGTATTACTAGGAATCGAGGAAGGGAATATTTAATTTCTATCCCAGGTAGGTAGTTTAGCTACTGAGGTTTCCAATCGGTCACTCTTCAAGGGTCCCGTGGACTCGTATTTTTAACTTCGGTAACCTTACAGACCCAAGCCAAGCAGAAGGGTTGCTTGGTTGCCCACGTTTAGCTACCGACGGTGTTTCTGTCATTAATTTACCAAACACAATTATTTCAAATCATTAAAATTCTAAACACCTTTATGCAGTGTATAATACTATACACAGTGTTGATTTGCCACAGTTCTCATGAGCTCTGTAAACATTCGAAACATTTCTCTTATTTCGGAGATCGCGCGCTTACTAAGCAGTTGTTAGTAAGTGTGACGGCATTAAACGTAGATCTCGTCAAATTATTTTTATCTAAGAAATAAGTATAGTATTACTGACAATTCTCGTTGTTATTTCACTTACGATTTTCAAACTCCCGATTTACTATTCGATACTAAATCATGTTCAATTGAATTGAATTGAATTGAATTAATGCCTTATTTTACATGGCGAGACTCAGGCCATGAGGCCTGCTCTTCCGTCTGACCACGCAAATTTCGCTACGCTCCTTTCACCAACTAGCAGAGAAAGGAGGCATTTATTAGGCGAGAAACATGCGATTTGAATTTTGCTCAGAGCCGTCATTTAGGCTTGAGGATGTTTTACAAGCAAGTAAATCTACTAGCATGGGCCAGCCGGCTTTTCTTCCGCTCTGAAGGAAGGCGTACGTAGGATTTTTTAAATGTTTAGTGATTCTTATCACACGAATAATTGGATTTACTATATGACGACTAAACATGTTGATTACATTGTACACAGTCGTGCAGTTGGAGTGAGGAGTCATAATCACAATGACAATGAATTTATTAGAAAAGACATGGAGTATTCTAGCGTCATGTCGCAGAGTACAACATGGCGGCACCGCTCTAACATGGGAAGTCGGCCTCTCTCAATGCGACTCGAGAGGAGGGACGCCTCAAAAACGCCTCCGCGCAAACGGGAGAGCTAGAGAAGACGTCATGCCGGGCATATTGGCATCCTCACTCTCACCGTCTCTCTCTCACTCTCTCATTCTCACTCTCACTCTCTCGCTGCATCTGTCACACACGATATCTCTCAGTCTCGCTCACTCTCAGCCACTCTCACTTCCTCACCCTTCCATGTCCTCCCTCACTTCCTACTTCTAATTCGCTCTCACCTCAAATTATTCCACCTTCTTCTTACACTTTTATAATTAATTCAATCCATGTCATTTTTATTGTACCTTATTGTTTCTGATTTTTCAAGTTGAATCAATGCGTTTGAAAGTATAATATATTTCAGAATTAAGTCATGCGCGGGTCCAATATGTACTATGTAGCATTCTAACACACCGCAAATTCAAGAAAACTAAGTAAGGGCCGCTGGAAACGGTCCAACACCGGAGGATCTGGAACTTGCCTAATATATCAATATAATAGATTGTAATAATACCTTGCGCCAGGAGAGTCACCGCACCAAACCGAGTTGGGCTCTCCTATCAAGAATTGCATTTACTTTGGTAGCAACCAGATCATTGGGAAACAAATGATGCGGACAACGCTAGCAACATATTACGATTGTGGTAAGTACTCAATTTACGCTTTCTCTCGTCACAAGCTGCAGCTCGTGCTACGAACGTCTGTTGCTAACGCTCTCACCAGCAGTGGATACACACGCACGTGTTCTACGTTTCTAATAAGATAACAGTTATTACTATGTTCTACCTGTACTTGTCGGTGAGCGCGCACAGGCGGTCGATCTTGCGCGCGATGGAGTCGAACTCTCGCAGCTGCTGCAGCAGGTCCTCGCGCTGGCGCAGGATTTCCCCCGGCGGCTTCTCGCCTTCCTTCGTCTTGCTCTGCACACACACACCCTCCCGTCCATTACGCTGCTTCAACACGTTTAACAATCAAATTTGCATCATTTGGGAAGGTAGCTGCCTGCCCGAGGAAATATTATCAAGCACAGTAGAACCTCGCTAAACCGAACCCCGCAAATCCGAAATTTTGAACATTCCAAACAAAATTCTGTACGGTGGAAAAATAAACAAAAAAATGCTTGTTTATACTCTATGGAAAGGATTTTATAATTACTGTAAAACAGCGCAACTAATTATTGAAACCCAAATTGGCGAAATGAAACGTTCATTGCATTGGTAACTACGGTGTATATCGCCTATTTACGTAGCAGTAGTGTGATAGTTTTACGATTTTACTCATTTAATCTGACAATGTATTTTATCATGCCCGATGTTGGGCAACCGTTTCTGATGACCATACTGTAATTCTTTGGCAATGTTTGCTACTGACATCTCAGAAACGAATTTTTTAGCGTTGTGAAATAGTTTCAAGCTTTTCTATCAATGTCTTAATTTCTCCCTTTTTTGTCTTCTCATCACTAAACATAAACAAAAAAGTTAGTTAAAGATTACGTTACGCAAAATGTGTAAAAATACAAATTTAAGAAATAAAAGCATTCATATTACGAAAGTTCAAAATAAAAACTATAAATTATAAATAAACGGCCAAAACAATTAGTACTTTTTGCAAAAAAACAATAATTCCGTAAGATAGGCAGACTTTCATGTTTAAACCCGATGTTCCCATCCTGCTAAAGGATCAATGTCGCCATAAACATTTGTTGCCAGAAAGAGTTGCCACGAAACAAAAAACATCAATTGAGACTATGAAGAAAGAAACTATGAAATGATGCCGGTGGTCACAATAGTATAGCCAGGGACTGTATCTTGTTAATTCATCTACATGTTATTATAATTTTACAAACACTTATTCGGTTTAAAATAACACGAGTCAACAATAAGCTACATTTTCACATTTGGATTATGAAGCAATCACTTACATATACAAAACAGTCTGAGCAAAGTAATAGACAATAAGAAATGTACCTACCCTCAGTCATGAACAGTAAATACATAAACATGAAGAGTCACCCGCGTAGAGCATTAAAAGCTATCCAAAGTTGAGAATCGACAGCGATCGTCCTTTGTTGCTCGAAGCGGAGGCAGATGGAGCTACTTTGTCTATTGCTGGAGGCACAGATGCACGCGACTAACGGGGAGACGCAATCGATATACCATTGAATAATAAGTGAAGCCAACATTGGCTTCTAATTTTTATCCAAAATCTTACGCACAGATGTTCGGCAGGTCTCGTTCTGCAACAAACAAGGCGCTTGATGTGCTGCCGAACACCCGTGCGTTCCGAATTTCCTATCAATGAGGGGCAAAGGTCACTAGATGTCCGTTGGGAACCAAGTACCTTTTCCGACCCCTCAACATGCCCTACAAGGCTATACAATTTTTTATCCTGTATACAACTATTAATTTCTACCAACAGATATTTATTACTATTTTTGGAAATAAATGTACAGAAGAACGTAATTGGCCCTTTGTTTTCCAGTGATAACTATAAGAAACAAGTCACATCGCTAAACCATTGTAATTGTTCGCTTCTGGCCAGGGCGTACTCAGTATTTCAGTCTTCCTGAGTAAGTTCGGTTCGAATCTTCCTCTACAGCCATGTTTAGCTCTTATATATGCCTGAGGTGAAGTGGGAGGGAGAGGCCGGAGTAATGCAAGCGGTGGTTGGTCCGCACGAGGCGTTTGCAGCTAAGGGCTAACGGTTTTGCTCCTTCTTGTAGGAGAATAATGCTCGTATAACCAACGTGCGTTATGGAACGTTCTAGTAGTATAATTTAGCAACACAACAATGTATTAGCACTATAAGTTGTAAAACATGCTACAGAGAGCCCCTTACTCTGCTGTTAATGACGCGATTATGAGCGAGCGTTATGCGCACAACATTAAAACGTGAAAGCACCTCATATAAATCTAAAACCCGTATAAGGACATTTTGAATCATTTTTCGTCGGTTCAGAAAAGTGACAGATCAAATTGGATGTAATTTGAACGGAAAAAATGATGCAAGCTTCATTTTTCGATATAGATTTCATCCAGTTTGATTACTGCGTTCCTGACGTCACTTTTTGGAACTTTCTGTTGTTTTCTATGCGTGCGGTGACATTTGTTCCATTTGTACAGCTTCGAGAGCGTTCGAATATGCTGAGCTATAATGTGAAGTGATTACGTAGTGAGAAATAAAACATGTACTGTGTTATAATGTCTAGATCCGTGCTCATATATAACCTAATATAATTTGTTACCATAGATGCAATGTTCAACTGTTTGATCTTCAGCACATTTTGCGGAGTCCAGAGGCAATATTTTCTTTGCGATTACGTGCAGAAACCGCATTGATTGTGTAAATGGTTCCATTTCGTTTCGATACCGAAAGAGTAGCTGTAGAGAAAAAGTCTCTAAAAAGTGATCATGCAAAGGCGTTTGGCGTCTCACCCGCTCCCAGTCCTTGATGGCGGCCTTGATCTCGTCGATCTTGGCGGCGCGCTGGTAGGCCATGTTGGAGGCGTGCAGCAGTTCCTCGAGGATGCGGTCGTCGGAGCAGGGCTGCTCGCTCAGCTGCGAGAGGCGGCGCGCGATGGGGTCCGTCGCCTTCACCAGCAGCTTCTCCATCATCTGCGCACCGCCAGGGCCAGGCGGATGGAGCAGTCCAAAGCCGACCTACCGACGGCTACTGAGCTTTCCCTAACCAGCCAGCTCCCACCAGGGGGCACCGCCCCAGTTGCAACAAGCTCTAAGCTTCCTCCCTGGTCTCCCAACATGTGTGGTGGTTTAATGCATGCAAGTGTGTGTGTGTATGGAGCGTGGATAGGACAAGGAAGAGAAAGGAAAGATCATGCGGGGTCCGTGGCCCGTTTGTTAGCTTACTGCTCCGGCATTCGCCTGGTGTTGTTAGGGGAAACCACGGAAAACCACCGATCAGAGCAACCTGTCGCTACAATTCTCCTCCAGACAGCGAATGAATTAAACCTAGCTATAGTGCGGAAAAACTTGACACCGACCCCTAGACCCTCGCGGTCAGAGGTTCTTCAGTGACATCATATCCTGAGCCACGTAATCTGGTGCTCTCGACATATCGAAGGACTAAGGAATAGCCAGGAAATGCCAAGGCAGACGAAGGACAAATTCGCGGTCAGTGGCCCGCGTGTTGGATAACTGCTCGTGCATTCGCTGGATATTGATGAAATAAATTATGGAAAACAACCGATCAGTGCAGCCGACTGCTAAAATTCTCTACCAGACAGACGCAAATTTGACCCACAGAAAATAGGTCAAACCATCAGGTTGTTTGCCTCATAACAAACGGCCTGCTTCAAATTGCGCGTGTGCACGTACGTGTACATATGTCCCATAATGTGTTCGTAAGTGTCGCTAAGTGCAAGCGTATGTACGTGCAAGCATATGTACGTGCCAAGAATCATTCCAGCCTCTAAACGTCACCTTCTGGATCTTCTCATAATAAGTTTAGCGCGGCGAATGGCCCCTCATCCCAACCCGGGAGCGGCGTAATCCCTTCGGCTGGCTACCGACGCGACGCCTCGCCTCGCCTCGCCTCCCCTCGCCTCGCCTCGCCGGGCGGCGCTTGCTAGCGCTTTTCGGATCCTGATTCGTTGTCACTGCTGTGTATTACGTATTCTAGCAGAGTGTGGACCCCCTTGCAGTGAAGGAAGTAATAAAGAACAGTGGCGGACGCTGGGTTCATAACTTGAGGAGGCTCACATAAATTCAAGCACGGAATTATATTGTCAAATTGAAAATTTTGGCTATTGGTTTACCTGTGAGATGTTGTTGGGGGCACTCCAAATATAATAATTATATTTAATATTTATTTTCTTTTAATACTAATTCTTTGCGAAAACGGCTCATCCGATAAAGGTGGTTTTGTGTTTACTGTATATTTGTACTGCCACACAATAGATCCATCTCAACCAGAGAGAACACACTGTCTATGATCACAACATGTCTTCACAGGTGACAAGACGCGCAAGAGCCTACGAGCCAAACCAACTACGAAGATGGATGAAACAAACTACCCCTTTTCTTATTGGTTGAGGGATTTTGTCATGGTAGCAGTGAACCGCCGGTACCCTGCACAGGTGATGCAGGCTACCGCAGGCACAAGCAGTTCTATAACCGAAAAGTATAAATACCATAGATGAAATGTCTTTATGGTTCTAAGTGTAACGCACAGAACTGCTTAGTTCCATCTGCTTGTAGCAAGAGAAACGACTTTTTGTAAATGTTAACTTGCAAACCGTAAACTTTTATATAATATATATTAGTGATTTTAGTAAATTTTAGGGAGAAACCTGGTCTCCCTTGCCTCACATGAAAATGCGTTCCTGGCAAAGTTGCTATATGTTCTAAAAAGGCGGGTTATGTCCAAAATACCGACATGTGCCCACTGTCCCGCCCGATTTTTCTGTTTCTACTAAATGTTCTGAATTTTTATACTCTGTTACAATAGAACGCAGTCCCACAAATAACTGCGTTTTGTAACTACTTGTGAAATACATCACAGAACTATGCACTAGTTAGAGAATATAAGGGCTAAACCTTCTGTTAAGCAAATATTGTTATTTTTGTGTTTTACGGAGCAATCGGAGAGCTGAAAAGTAGATAAACAAAGTTAGCGTGTGATTTGAATCGAAGTGCATCTGTTGGATCTGGAATGGAAGGCGAAAAGAACTCTTTCAATAACAGTTTTTTAATACCGACCAAAGTAATGCTTATTAAATATTTTATTTAAATACCATGAAATGTCATGGAAAATAAGGAAATGACCTGGATAACCTGAGTTCAGGGGTTCAGGGGGAAATTCCTTCTATAAAACGAGTGGTCATCCTGTTATTCTTGAAAGTGTTCAAGAATAATAGGATGCGCTTCTCCTAGTAAGTAGACTTTGCAGCAGCTTGCTGAATGCCACTGCATGAGGCCGATTGTAAATGCCGATGACTTCGGCTGGGCAGAATGCCACTGGTGTGGCAGCGGCCAGCCCACTCACCGCCATGGCGATGGCCTCGCTGCTCTCCTCGCCCTCGAGGTCGCTGTCCTCCTCGGAGCCCATTTCCTCCTCTTCGTCTCCTTCCTTCTTCCCCTTGGGCTGATCGCCAGCGGCGCCCTCCTCCTCTCCTCCGCCTTCGTCACCTCCTCCCTCGCCCTCCCCCTCCGCTTCGCCCTCGGCCGCGCCTTCGCCTTCCGCCTCGCCCTCCGGCGCCGCCGCCTCCTCCTCCTGCAACGCACACGCGCCACGTCACAACCACTGGCGCTTCACGAAATGCTTCCACACACACAACAAATTCAAATACAACGGTAATAATTCTACATTTCAATCAACATTTGTTTCAAAGGTACAGTAAATCAGTGGCAACGTTTCGAAAGAGGATATTCTTTCATCAGGCTTTTATACGTCATGAAATGTTCTTGTCATGATTTGATGAAACAGAGAACAAAAGGAACCAATGAGTAAAGTAACAAGGTTAATAATAGCCGTTATACCAAATTTGTAACTAAAATGAACTGTAATGGTTGAACCTTAATAAACAGACTATATTTTTTCATAACAATTTATTTATTGTTATACAATGACTTTTCGACCGTATTTGGGATCTACTTCAAAAAATTCCCGATGAGTTGACCGGATGAAGTTGACAACTTGATCATTTTTTATGCAATATGATGCCAACAAATCTGCCGACTGGATTTTTTGAAAAAGACCGTAAATAGGGTCGAAACGTCATTGAATAAAAATAAATAAATTGTTATAAAAATTACAGTCTGTTTAGGTCACAAACCATTATAATAAAATAAACATTATAACAGATGGTAAACTATTCCTTATAATAAAATGAACTGATCCAAAAGGAAATACTTACTTCGCCTCCTTCCACTGGCTCTTCTTCATCCGCCATTTTGATTGATTCTGAAACAAACAGTGCGTAACTACGAGTGGAATGGTTCACTTCAAGCGTTCACATTTTCTTATCAAAATACATACAGTTGTACTTCTCAGAGGATTTCAAGATTTCTGTTTCTGCCTGCCCCAGGCCCCACCTTCAGAGACTTAAGTGATGTAAATTGTTTTAATTGCTCATGTTCATGTTGGCTTTTTTACTGTAGTTAGCAGACAACGTCTGTTTACAGTATAATTATTTTACATCAGGGTCCCATAAATAATTGCATGATTACATTTCTCATAGATCTTCATTGTGGTAGTTTCTGTATAAAGAAAAATAAATTAGCCTAATTGCCTAAATTTCTTGAAAACGCAAACAGCATATTGTAATTTTAAATGCGGCGGATAACCATGTAAACCGCCAATACTACTCTCATTATATTACATCACGTATTTGTGAGTTTAATTTTCACTTCACTCACCAGTTCTGCCTTCAGACATAATCTTGGATATTTCGATTATTTTTCCTCATGATAAATCACAATTTTGTGTATTTCTGTTCATGGAAAATCAAACAAAATTGCTATGGCAACCCACAAAAAAATAATTCATTATTACAGCGGTATTTACATGTATAAGTACCGCATAGACCCGATGTTCATTTTTAATTGAATACCCATACTTAGTATCAATCATTTTTCAATTCATCTACTTTTTCAAAGTGATGGCAGATTAACTTGACATGCATTTAGGTAATTATTATGATATAAACATTCCTGATCTCTAATTAATTATCAAATTACTGCTTTGTTATGACCGCTATGTAATTATCTCTAAGTTGAATAATATATTTATATCCTAAAGGAAATAATTAACTCGTACGATTCAGCAACTAGCAATGTTTTCACTCGGCATAGTCTGTTTCATATTAATTAATACATTTATTATTCCCACACGTATTCTTGAACCTAGACCCACCCTCCTCCTCTCTTCGATTTGAATCAGTTGAATAGCAGGAATCGCAGCAACCACTGTTGACAACATTATAAACTCAAGTTACAGGCAAATTAGAATCATTGGCAGTGAGCTTGAGGTCCCATCAACCTGTGGATTCTTCGGGATGTTTACATTTTAAGTAATTAAATACTATTTAATACGGGAAATGTCATAGAGAGGACAAATACTTCACTTCATGATATTATTCAATTCTTGAAACAGGCGCCTATATTTACGGCGGCTAGTAGATCCGTAATTAAGAGAATAAAAACTAAAAATAAACGAATTATAATGGTTCTTTAGAACCATGTGGCAATAATAGTGTATAATTGAAATCTGTGTTTTTTTTCTTTAGCTCCAGAATCCATACACCATATATTTTTTTCATAAACATAACTTGGGGGACCATGGGGTGGTAATTGCCACTCCTGTTGTGGCTCGAGGGCCCGACACGGGCCTTGGTCGACCAGCGGTGTCCCGACCTCACGGCCATGGGAAAAGGGGTTCGTGTGGTCAGCACGAACACCCCCTCCACCGTATAATACAAGCTGGTCTTCTTAACCTTAGGGCGGCCTTCTCATCGTCACACAACAATAGATACTGGGACATTATCTGTAAGGAAGCGCACAGTTATAATTCTGCCCCGGCCGGGAATCGAACGTGGGGTTGCGCCGTCGACAGCCAGCACGCAAACAAACGAGCCGTTCGAGGGGGCCATTGCCACTTCTTTCCCCGATATTTTGAACTTCGACGGACTTTTACTCTCTTGTGAAATGTATTAACGGACACTACTACATGCGTTTTAAAACGTTTGTATTATTATCGAGTGATTACAAAAAATTGCAAATGTGTAACAAACATTTCTACTAAATAATAATTGGAAAGAATTAACCGTTCCATTCCACAAAATAATATTTCAACAATTTTAACGTTAAATTAACCACAATTTGATATAATTAAACGTATTAATGTTCCATTGTAATAAATATAATACATACAGAGGCACGATTTTAAATCTTTTATTGGTGGGTCCCCCTCTCATAAGATGGTAAAACGTTTCTCTAAATCAAATGGCATGGGACTAGTTACACTACAATTCTAACATAAACAATATTTTTGAAAGATTTCTCAGCTCCCGTCCATCCACCTACACCCCTCTACAGCCAGAACAGTTTTTTTTAATTTTTTTGTCAACTAAACACTGTTTTATCTGGTTGAAAAAATATGAAATATAACAAAATAATTTATAATATCAGAAAAACATTTTTCTATATTTTCTCAGCGCCAAATTCAAACGCAAAAGTTTTTCTTTTTGAAAAAAATAATAAAAAATAATTTTACTCTCTTACAATTCTGAAACTGGTTTGAAAAAATCTCAAAAGATTTTAAAACCCAAAATTTTGAAAGTGTTTTCAGACTTTTTTCGATTGATGAACTGAAGATAGAAATAAAAACAATTTGGACCATTTTAAACCACATACACTTTTAAAATGGCTGCAACAGTTCTGTGCATTTATTTGAGTATTATACATTTCTAATGAAAATTGTTCTGTTGTCCAAAAAACTACGATGCATTTTTGATATTGGTACCGACACAATTATTCAAACCACAGATTCGCCTTTATAACAACAGAAAAGTGAAATTACTGTAATAACATTGAATATAACAGAAAATTTCCGGGGGAGAAAATAGGTTCGCTTTTTTCTCAGTGTACACTTGACATTAAACAAATATCATGCAATCATTAAAATATATCTTTCAATATAATGGAAAACATACTGACAAAATATAAAATAATAAAGAGTTTTACTCAACGTCATTCGTATATTTTCAAGTTTTCATTTCTAAAAAAATTGTTAACTCGCAGTTTTTGTTCTATAACACAGTATGTTCAAGCTAGAACAGTCAGATCACAGAAAAGTTAGTCACTCGGTGACATTTTTGAATCCGTACGTTTTGTAGTGTTGGCAAATTTCTTCTTTTAAAGACCCGTTAAAGAAAATCGTCCTACATGAACAACGGCTTTAAGTTTTCCGTTTGCCGACTACGCTTCCTTAGATTACAAGTAATGCTTGAAAACATATTTATCGCATCGCGAACTTACGAAACGTTGTTTATTGAGATGCACCTAGTTTTCGGCATTCGAAATATTAAAAACGCTACTAAATTTGTAATGGAAATCATTCATTTAATCATAATATACGTATGTTTCTTGCAATTCTAAACAATACGATATATTACAATATATGCTTTCGGACTATTACATTCAATTTAGGGTATGGCAGGTATGGATGGTTCGAATACTTAGAAATTCGCACAGCTCCCAGTTTGTACGCTTTTTTGCTAATACACACAAATATGCACATAAAATATCATTCGTAAGCTGATCTTCAGCGTTTTTATCTAATGAGATCATTTTCAATTAGTTCCAAAAATTCTGACCCAAAATCTACAACTACATTTGATTCTTCCCTGCATTTGCTTTTCGCTTCCATACTTTTGCCCCTTAATTTTGAAAAGATTAAAACTCCACAAACTCAGTATAATTTGTATTAGCTTTAATTCTGCGATTTCTCTATTGATCCTTTTGTATGCGAATATATATATTTTCTAACTAACCCACCTACAACTTGTTACCTTCACAGCAGCACGCATGAAGCGTAAGCGGGTTATCAAGATTTTGCTCGTGAAGCGAGCTTAAACAAATCTAGGGAGCAGGATCTTCAGGGTGCGAGAAAGGTTTGAACCCTTGACACAATAAAACCACACACATTGCACACAAACGAGCGTATAATTTACCCATAAACTTTTAGTGGCATAAGTTAATGACAGAAACCAA